GCCTCGTGGGCCTGCTTTTCCATCTTTCTAGGTAGTGCAGGGGCGCTGGAGACACATGCGGGGCTGGCCACCCCCTGGCCCTCCCACTCTTTCCAGCTCGGCCAGTTTCCCTGAAGTTGTTCAAGCCCTGGCGACCTCATCCGACTTGTATCGGGCTCGCTTCAGCCCCTGGCAATTTCTCCATCCCTGCCAACTTCCACTGTCACATAATTCCCAGTTTCCATGTTTGCCAGGTCCCCTGTGCACGCGCAAAGAAGGTATCACCAGAAGGTCAAGGGAGTTGCCCTTGCTGAACATATTCTTCACGCTTCGAGTATCCTCACTTGCCTGCGCAGCCCGGCAGCTTAGGCAGCTCAGGCAGCTTAGGTTCGGCCGTCGGTCCCCGTGCGCTAGGCAATTAGGTTCGCGCGTAGCCCGCCCGACCTCGGACGCTGCTGGCGCGCTCGCATGCGGCCGCAACGAGCAAGTATCCCCACTTGCCCGTTCAGAAACCCTGCCCATGAGAGCTGACGGGGAAATGGACGAAGAGACACATACAATGAAACAAAGAGGGCAACCGGGATGAGCAGAGAGGTCTTTTGGAGCAAGGGGATAGCCTTGAAGGGCTTCTTCGGGCCATCCCTGGGGCCCGCGGGGGGGGGGGGGGGGGCGAGGGGAGGAGGAGGAGGAGGAGGAGGAGGAGGAGGAGGAGGAGGAGGAGGAGGAGGAGGAGGAGGAGGAGGAGGAGGAGGAGGAGGAGGAGGAGGAGGAGGAGGGAGGAGGAGGAGGAGGAGGAGGAGGAGGAGGAGGAGGAGGAGGAGGAGGAGAGGAGGAGAGGGAGAAGAAGGAGGCAACCCGCCTCTTGGGGCCCTCTTGGGACGCTCTTGGGGCGCTCTCGGACGCTCCTGGGGCCGTTTTTGGGCTGTCTTTGGGCCTTTTTGGGGCTTTCTTGGGGCCCTCTCGGGGTCCTCTTGGGAGCCCTGGAGGACCTCGTGAGGCCATCTTGGAGGCCATCGATCAAAGGAGTGGGCTCTCTTACGTTATTGCGAAGGCCTTACGGCCGGTGCCGTCAACCCTGAAGATGAGGACGCTGACACGACGAGGTAGAAAGAGGAGAAGTAGGACGAGCAGGGGGAGGAGCCGCATGAGGAGGAGGAGGAGGAGGAGGACGAGGAGGGGGAGGGTGAGGAGGATGGGGAGGAGGAGGTGGAGCCAGAGGTTCAGGGGAGGGGTGGGGAATGGAGGGGGGTTAGTTGTGAGGGAGGGAGACTCGGGGATGTGGTAGTGGTGCCCGCAGGTGTTGACGGAGAAAGGACGTGGTCTCGTGAGGGTCTCTCGAGAGGGGGTCGTCGTATCTGACCCGGGACCCCCCCCCCGGGACTTCCCCGGGACCCCTCCCGGGGACCCCCCCAGAACCCCCCCGGGACCCCCCCCTCCTGGCGGGGAAGGGATGAACGTGAAGGGGCTTCCCTTCGACTCAATAACGCCGTGGCTCAATTTTGTGATTGCGACATTTCTCAATTTCCTTTTGTTTCGCCACTTGAGGGGGAGGCCTGGGAAAGGGGAAGGAGCGACGACGACGAAGAGGGGGCAGACAAGAAAGCCTCAGAGGGGGCAGAGTGAAAAGCCTCTTCCACACGCCGACACAGGGTCGGCGAATTCCCTCCTTTGGGGTCTTCAATATCATCTACCTGGGCGCATCTGGAGACCCTGACGTTGGAAGCCCCCTGGCCAGCAGCGACGACTGCCGGTGGGTTCAGAGCGGCAAGGTGTGTGTGTGTGAGAGAGTGTGTGTGTGGGTGTGCGTTTGTTTGTGTGTGCGCGCGTGTGTGAGTGCGTGTGTGTGTGTGTGTGTGTGTGTGTGTGTGTGTGTGTGTGTGTGTGTGTTTGTGTATGTGTATATATTTGTTTGTTTGTCAGTGTGTGTGTGTGTGTGCGTGTGTGCGTGTGTGTGTGTGTGTGTGTGTGTCTAAGCCTCCAAGATGGGGTCGGAATAGATGAGGTCGAAGAAGGATCGCGCCGTATCGCCGATGCAGCCCCGATGCGGCGCGATGCGGAGCCCAATTGTCTCCATGTCGACGTCGCCGATGCATCGCCAATTCATCGGCGATGCGGCGTGAGCTTCCGACCCCATCTACTCGGACCCCATCTGGGAGGCTCCTCTAGTGTCCCTCCGAGACGGGGCGGGGATCCATGTCGTTCCCCTCCCCGTTCGAGAGGCCTTCCAGGAATCGAAGAACAAAGAACGGCATACGCATGCACTTTCTACGGCCGGTGCCGATTTCTTGGATCGGCGTTGGGCCCCCCTGGCAGCGCCTCTGACGCCGCCACTGGCGCGCTCCGCGCGCCAGGGAGAGGATTCCAGCGCCCAGCCAAGAAAGCCGCGCGGACTTCAGCTGAGAGCAATGACGTTTGTGCTGATCTTTCTTCCTCCAGTGGGGCCAGGGGGGATGGCATGCCGAGAAGGCGCCGGGCTCCCTGGCGGTCCCCCTTCCGCCCGAGAGAGCTTCCAGGAAGCTTCCGAGCAGCCTTCCACCAAGCCTCCCCCTCGTTCCGCAGGGCTGGACCTGAACGGTGCTTTTGGCGATTTCGTGGGCCGTTTTCGATGCGACTTCGTTTTGCGGTAAATAAAGGCGGATTCGAGACACAAGCGAGGGAAAACGCAAACAGCACGAAAACGAAAAACACCGTTTGGGTTCAGCCCTGTCGCTCCGCCCGCCCCGCCTTCTCGGAGCGCCTCTCCCCTCGCTCCGCCCATCCTACTCGTGCGCGCCGCCAGCACATGGGGGGCCTACGTGCGAGCCCTACCCCTACTCCAGATCTCGTAATAAAAGGGAGGGGGTCTGGACCCTCCCAGACGAGCCATTTCAGACCTCCCCCGTTGGAGAACCCTCCAAAACATCGTCCCCAGACCCCCCCAGGCCCTCCAAGATAGCCTGGAAGAGACCCCCCCCGAAATGAGACCCCCTCCCTTGTATTACGAAATCTGGAGCACCCCCCACGATCTCTGAGGGGGAGGGTGGGCTTCACTTCGCTCGGAAGCTCCCGAGCGGAGCGAACCCGAACGAAGCGAACCCCACCCTCCCCCTCAGAAATCGCAAGGGGTAGGGAGGGAGGAGGAGGAGGAGGAGGAGGAGAAGGAGGAGGAGGGAGGTGGAGGAGGAGGGGGGGAGGAGGAGGAGGAGGAGGAGGGGAGGGGAGGAGGAGGAGGTGGATGGAGGAGGAGGTGGGGTTCGCACGCAGGCCCCCCAGCGCAGGCCTTCGCGGGTTGCCTGGCGGGGGGCCCCGTCTCGTCCTTCTCTCCGCGGGACGCCCAGGGCAGGCTCCTCCTCCTCCTCCCTCCCTCCTCCTCTCCTCCCTCCTCCCCTCCCTCCTCCTCCTCCCTCCTCCCTCCCTCCCTCCTCCCCTCCTCCTCCCTCTCCTCCTCATTCTCCTCCTCCTCCTCCTCCTCCTCCTCCTCCTCCTCCTCCTCCTCCTCCTCCTCTTGGGGCCACCCGCGGCGATCTCGGGGGGCACCCCCGGCCGCCCGGGGAGCCTCGCGGGTCCTCCCCACGAGCCTCGGGGGGTCACCCCGACCGATGGCTTCGTGGGGGTCCGATTCGGGTCGGGCGGGAGGGGGGGATTGGGAGAGGGGGGGTTACGAAATCTGCTGCATGCAGCTGGTTTCGGCCTCACCGAGGGGCCCATTCCTCGATACATAGCCGCCTCCGGCGCCGGGAGGCGCCGGGAAAATCAGCTACGTGAGCTGATTCTCAAAAACCCCCCTTTGCTATCCCCCCATTTCGCCCGACCCGACATATGTCCGAGGGTGGAATTTATCCATATCCACCGCCTGGAGGGTCAGTTTTCGGAGCCTCGGCAGGCGGTGGATATGGACATGTTCGGGCCTCCGTGGGCCGATACATATACATATATATATATATATATATATATATATATCCATGTCCACCGCCCGCTGGGGCACCAGGACGTCGGTTCCCAGGCGGTGGATGTGGATAAATCCCCGCCTCGCAATATGGTGCGTCCTGGCGGCTTGTTTGGCCGTCGTAGACACCTTCTCCAACTCCCCCTTCACCGTCCCTTCCCCTCTCCGCCTCCTCGTCGTCATTGCTTGCGACTCACTCCCTGGAACATTCCCGCACGCCGCGCTCGATGATGGCGGCGCAGACACGACTTGCGGGGCACGCGTAGACTGGCGGCGCAGTCGGACTGCGCCGCCAGTCTACGCGTGGCCCCGCAGCCAAAACCTGCAGGGAAGGGAAGGGGGAGCTACGTTGCTTGACCAAGACGAGGGAAGGAACTGGGGAAAGCGCGTCTCCTGACGGGGAGATGGGGAGGAGTGGGCGAGGTGCGCTGCCCGATGGTGTCCCCATCGCTCCCCCTCACCCTTCTCGCCGCCCTCCTTCTCCAGCCACCTCGCCCTGCTGACTCCGGCGGCCCAGTCTCCTCGAGACGGGCCTCCGCAGCCGCGGCGGAGCAGCGAGTGGACGAGGCGATGCGGCTCGAGGGGGCCTCTGGAGCCTCTCACCACCTGCCAAACCACCCCAACCCAACCCGAAGGCCTCAACTTGCCCTCCATTTCCAGTGGGGGGGGGGGTCGGGGAACATCGAGAAAACACATATGGAACCCGTACCCCCCCCAACCCGAAATTCGGTCTTCGGGTTGGGTTGGGGTGGTCTGGTAGGTAGTCAGCCTCAGGGTATCGGGCCGGGTCGGGTCAGCCAACCCTCCGCCTTGTTTCCTGGCGCGCAGTGGTCCTTCCCTCACCCTGCTGACCGTCGCTGGCCCTCTGCCTTCCTTAACAGCGCTCAGTGGTCCTCCTCCTCACCCTTCTCGCCCTACTCCTTGTGCTCTTTCTTTCCTCTTCCTCACCCCCTTCACATTCCTTGCCAACCTCAGCCTTCTCGCCTTCCCTTTTTCCTTTTCCTTCGGCCACCACCTCCCTCTCTCACCTCGGACTTCCCATCTCCCCCCCGTCCAGAACACGTTCATCGAGATTGTCAACGACTGCCAGCCGGACATGTGCGGCGACCTTCCCCTTGGAGGAAGGAGACGGAGAGAGTAGGTGGTGGAGTAGGAGGACTAGGAGGATAAGGAATAGGAGGGAAAAAATATGAAGAAGAGGAGGAGGAGGAGGACGAGGAGGATGAGGAGGTCGATGATGATGATGATGATGATGATGATGATGATGATGATGATGATGATGATGATGATGATGATGATGATGATGATGATGATGAGGAGGAGGAGGAGGAGGAGGAGGAGGAGGAGGAGGAGGAGGAGCAGCAGGAAGAGGAGGAGGAGGAGGAGAAGAAACAGTCGCAGCATCATAGGGAGGGCGTTGGAGGGGGAAAGGGGGATGATGATGATGATGATGATGATGATGATGATGATGATGATGATGATGATGATGATGATGATGATGATGGTGATGGTGAGATGATGATGATGATGATGTGATGATGATGATGTGATGATGCTGATGCTGATGCTGCTGCTGATGATGATGATGATGCTGATGATGATGATGATGATGATGTGATGATGATGATGATGCTGTGATGATGATGATGATGATGATGTGATGATGATGATGATGATGATGATGATGATGATGATGTGATGATGATGATGATGATGATGATGATGATGATGATGATGATGATGCTGTGATGATGATGATGATGATGATGATGATGATGATGATGATGATGATGATGCTGATGATGATGATGATGATGCTGATGATGATGATGATGATGATGATGATGATGTGATGATGATGATGATGATGATGATGATGATGATGATGATGATGATGATGATGATGAGGAGGAGGAGGAGGAGGAGGAGGAGGAGGAGGAGGAGGCGGAGGAGGAGGAGGAGGAGGAGGAGGAGGAGGATGGAGGAGGACTCTATGGCCCTCCATGTTGTCGTCGTGAATGAGACTGTGTCTGGGAGATGGCTCTTAAACAGGACGATGCTGCTGCTGATGATGATGATGATGAGGAGGAGGAGGAGGAAGAGCAGGAGGATGAGGAGGAGGAGGAGGAGGAGGAGGAGGAGGAGGAGGAGGAGGAGGAGGAGAAGGAGGAGGAGGAGGAGGAGGGAGGAGGAAGACGTGGAGGAGACAGAGGAGGGTTAAAAGAAGGAGGAGGAGGACCTTTGACCGTGCGATCATGGGCGCTCCCTGATGGTACTGGGGCCCAACCTCCTCACCAACATCCACGCGGGAAGGGTTGCCAGCTCTTGGGTGGGAGCCCCCGCGACAGGCGTGACAAGACCTCGCGGTCCGCCCTGGAGGGGCCTCGAGGAGGGCACGGCCCGGCCAAGTATGGGACCGTGTCCACAATGGGGGCCGCAGGCCCTGCAAGACGGCACTCCTCTGAGACAAGCCAAGAAGCCGCCGAGCCGTTGGCACGGCAAGGGCAAGGGCAAGGGCAGGGCAGCGCAGAGGGTTGCCAAGGCAGCGAGCTGCGAGAGAAGCAGTCCGCGCCAGTAAGCCAGCACTCGGCGGCGAGCGAAGGGGAGGAGGAGGAGGAGGAGGAGGAGGAGGAGGAGGAGGAGGAGGAGGAGGAGGAGGAGGGGTACGCAGGATGAGCCATGGCCGCTTCAGGACCGTCACGCATTGGAGGCTTTCCCACGCACCGCCCAGGATTAAACTCAGAAGTCTTGCCTCTGTAGGCTGGGAACTGTCGTTGGCCCACCTCATACCGCAAGCAGCTTCGATTCTTGACCACAGAGTGGCCAGCACCGCGAAGGTGCTGGTTCCGCTTCCGCACGAAGTCAGTAGGCAACGCCTTCGGACGAGGAGGCGGCCTACCGACGCGATCGGCTTTATTGCGGGCGCAGGTGAGGCTAACCTCCCTATTGACATCCAGCAAGCGCGGCAGAACTTGGGAGGTTAACACATCAACCCCGGCAATCAACTTGAAATGTTCGGGTTCTGCGGCCACTCCAGCAAAATAGCCCGCACACGCATTTAACAGTTGCTCGTCCTCAGACAGCCCCCAGGCATTTCCCAAGGCCACACTCGCATGAACCTTCGTCCAGATCAGCTCGACACGACCAGATCTCCGATCCAACTGGGCCCATCTCAGACTCCAGAGATCAAGCATCGGGGACGTTGGGGCAATGTAGGTTCGGGGCCGCCTGAGCGCCCGCACCATGGGGAGGTAGTCCGAATGCGCCACGATGTCGCCTGTGGCATGAAGGAGCAACTGGAGGAACACGTACATCTCAGCACGCGGACTGGATTGCTCATGAGAATGAAGACTGCCACGCAGTACTCCTTCGAATCTAAAATCTTCAGGAACAGAAGTAGGATCGAGCTTGACCATGGCCCACCCACATCGTCGAAGCCTCCAGTCCTTAGCCCATTTGCCACCAGAGCCATCAAGGCCCCACCACACTCCTCCCTCCACCGAACTGACGTTGGCCAGGATTCCCCAAGCAAGCGCCAGGGGACTCGGCGGAGGGGCCCGATCGACGGCGGCAGCCAAGGTAGGGAGCCCACGATTCCAGAAGGCACTTCCAGGACGCGCTCGACCAGGAGGAGGAGGAGGAGGAGGAGGAGGAGGAGGAGGAGGAGGAGGAGGAGGAGGGGAGGAGGAGGAGGAGGAGGAGGAGGAGGAGGAGGAGGAGGAGGGAGGAGGAGGAGGAGGAGGAGGAGGAGGAGGATGATGGAGGAGGACGGATGAGGAGGAAGCCTCCCGAGCTTCAGGGGCGAGAGGAGCGGACTGCAGCGCACCGCTGGGCTCGCCCTCGGAGCTGCACGGGCGCTGCCGCACCCCGTCCGACCCGCGGCCTCCGGCCCTGCTCCACGGCGCGGGCAGGCGCCGGCGCCGCGAGGGCCAGCCCGTCGAAGCCGCGTTCCGGGCCAGCACCCAGCAGGAGCAGTGCAGCGGAGCGAGGCTGCATCTTGATGGGCGCCTTCTCACCAGCCTGGAACCTGCTCCCTATCCCTGAGCTGGGCATCGCCTCCTCACAGTGCCAATCTTAGGGGTTCCCTTATATTTTTTGAGGGCGCATCCCTAAGATTGTCATCGCCTTTTGGCGTGTCAAGCTTAGGGATGGATAAGTTCGAGCACTAGCTTCCCATGGGTCCGACGAAGAGCCGCAAGATAATCGCCGTCTTCTAGACGCACTCCACAATGCTGGATCGAGGCCTTTTCCTGGAGCACTTTGGGCACCGTTTCCTTCGCGTACGTGTCCATGAAGAACTCGAAACCAGGACCCTCGAGGTCCAGCGTGCCAGAAGACGTGGCCCACCTAGTGGGAGAATCAGGCGCCCATCCTAAGTCCAGTAGAGTGGCCGCAATAGCAGAGACAGGGCCTTTCACCAGAGCCCAGCGACGATTTGGCTTGACGCCCATCAGCTCAGCCTTGACAGAGGTCCACGTCCGAGCGACGCCAGATTTCAAACCAATAGACAGCTGCTTCCAGATCCCCGCCAGAGCCCCAAGTTGCTCGCGCCGCAGACGGTAGGCGGGGTCGTCGGCATATTGATGGCGATCAGCAAGCGCAGTAGAGGTACAGGTGCCAGGGGGCCAGTACCCCGATCACTTCGCCGCAGCCGCTCGAAATAGCTGGACTTCAGACGGGGGCAATCCCAATGTGGTGTGGCTTCAAGTCCCCTCGCTCAGCGCGCAAGGTTTGAATATCTTGCGATACCTACCGCATGATTTAGCCAAATGCTGCAGCTTACGAGCACGCCGAAGAGCCGTCCTCTTGCTTATCTGGCCCTAGCCATACACCTCCTCCGAGCCGTAGATATCACCCCAAGATCCTCGATTGCCTCAGACGCCTTGACAGGAGCACCAAGACGTTCGAGCTCCGAGCTAGCCTGCCTCATCAGCGCAGACGATGATGCAATCGCAGCGCTCTTCACCGAGACACGGCATCCAATGGGGGTGACGTCCCTGAGAAGGGAGAGAACGGCAGCAGGAGCCACAGACATGACATACTTGATCTTTCCTTGCGCGTGCTGCGTGACATCATCCACATACGACAACGCATGCATACGAGGAACGTGCCAGTGCGCACGATGTAGTCACCCACGGCATAGACTGCGCACAACCTGCCAAGATAGAACTGCCAGCTGGAGTGACGCTGGAGAGAATACCTCACGCTTCCAACATTCGCGGGGAAGTATGCACGAGCAGACCTAAGTGCAGAAATTGTGGTGGGCACTCGAGCTTCAAAGCTAGCTGCGCGAGGAGCGGGACCGCCGCGCTGTCGACAAAAACGTTTCACGTCCCAATGAACTGCCAGGGGCTCGAAGCCGACCTGCGACGCCACCTCGCGGCGCAGAGCCCTGATGAGTAGGGCGCCTTGCAGAACCGAAGACCCCTTGGCTGCGGCGTCCCAATAATCCATGCGATCACAATTCCATTCATCAGCCATTCCCCCACGCATGCGCATATCCACGGGCTGACGCGATGGGCACTTAGACACCGCGCGTTCATCAGACACACTCTGAGGGGGCTTCGCCATAATATTGACCAGACACTGGCTCGGAAAGATGAGCTCCCGCTCAACCCGATTGAAGATCTGCGTGACTCCGTCAAGCGCGTGGCCAGGCAAAGAGAGCCACGCGCGAGGAGGAAACTGATCAATTCCAGTAGCGGTAGCAGCAGAGATGCAACGACGCGCCTGGACGAGATCCCGATTTTTCGAATTCAGGAGCTTGGAGCGCTGCCAGCTGAGCAGCTGCTCTCAGCTCCCAAAGGTACTGTTGAGAAGCGCAATGCGATCACCCCCAGGAGTCCACCAGCTGCCACCAAACTTCTCCCAGTACTTCATAATTTCTGGAGGGGTGTACACAACCCCTTCAAACCCCTTCATGTACTGAACCGTCACGCGGTCGTCGGATTTCAGCCACTGCTGGAGCTTGAGGGCAACTCCTGGGAGACTCATGCGGAGCCACTTTCGAATCTCCGCCTATGCGCCCTTTTTAGCCTTGCCCAAGCCTGCTTGCAAACGGGCGCGGCCTTGTCGACCAGCTCGCGGACCGTGTCCACGCTATCAGAGATGCCGGCCAGCGCCTGCGTCCACCATGAGGCTTCAGCGGGCTCGTGGAGAGGCTCAAGATGCACCTGCGGCTGGTCTGCTGGGCGCCTCAGCAAAGCCCGCAGATCAAAGGCGCGCCTAGAGCCAGGAGCCTTCGTTAGACACTTCAGAAAACAATGGAGTCGGGAATGGGCCAGGTACCAGAAGCACATGTACTCGCGTTCAAAACTTTGCTTCTTACAACCACGTCTCCTGAGCGACCCCGAGAACATCCTGAGCCCAGGACCTCTTTCCAACGCTCGATCAGGTTGCACCGCTGCGCGCGCCCGAGACAGGGGCGCGTGCTCAGCGGCCCTTGGCCGCAACGCATGCGCCCGAGACAGATCCGAAGACGAGTGATCAGCAGTCTGCTCCAGGAATGCCTTCGAGACATTTTCAGGAACCACCGCGCCCAAATCATCCTGCAGAGCCCACTTACAGCAATGCAGCCACGTATTGTCAGGGCCCGAGGCAGGTGGAGAAGCAGCGCGCTCAACTCTGCGAAGCACTGCGAGGGGCAGCGCGTCCTCGTCGATGGCAGCTTTTAAGGCAGGCGTGCGTCTTCAGCGGCGCGTCCGCGACAGCCGACAGAGAGACTGCGTGCGCAAGATCCCGCAAGCACACGAGATAGTCGACCATCGTCTCACCGGCATCACAGGTGAGCTCACGACTGTCTGGCACAATAGGGCGTGATATAGTCAAATTCAAACCATCCGGATTCCCCAGGGACCTCGGGGGCATTCTTGAAGCCGCTCAAGAGAAGCCAGGGGATAGCCAGGGTCCGAATAGACCGACACATATCAAGCATGTCATTCAGGTCCCCACCTGCCATGCCAATAGACGGAACGAGGTAACGCGCTCCAAATAGCGATTGGTTGCTCGTGCAACTACAGTTCCAGGAACAGCCAACACGTGCTTGATCCAGCCTGGGACACGTTAGAACACAGCGTCAACGACCCCTGGAACGAAAGGCCTTTCTGAACCAGTATGCCCGCGCCGCCATGCGCGCCGCGTCCAGGAGGGAGACCGCCCCATAGGACGACCATCCTTCGTAGCAGTAGGATGTGCGCCTCGACGCACATGATGTTCGGCCACCAGGAAGGCGTCAGCCTCAGTAAAGGCCTCAGCCGCGCATCCCTCAGCCAGCGCCGACCATGACGTGATATTAGCAAACAACACCTTCAAAGGGTCACTCTTCGTGCGAGCCCGCCATCTCTCAGCGGGGACAGGCCGGCTAAAGAGATCGCCGGCCTCCAGCGGGCATTGGCTGGAGTTGGGTGGCCGCTGCCTGGCAGAAAGTTACAGCAAAGTAATTGGACTGCTGCGCAATCGCGCTGCGGTCCCGCTTGCCTGCGCGGGCCTCGGCGGCCTTCTGGATCAAGCTACCGTGCCGCGCAGAGTCCCGGACGTTGAGGCCCGCCTCGGCAGCGCGTTTGCGAAGCTCGCGTAGCTCAGCCAGATCGCCCACGCCACCGACGTCAGTGACCTCGCTGCCGTTCTTCTCCATGCGAACGCAAGGACCGTTCGCCTGGGCCTTTGCCCGCGCCAGCGTCGCCCGCCCTTCACTGCTCGGCGCCGATGGCAGACGTGCCCTCGAACCGTACGAGGCCCCCCTTCGTCCAGCGCGCGCAGGTCGACCTCCGCCCGCGCGAAGTCCACCATGCCCGCAGCCGCGGGCCCAGGCGCTGGAGAGCCCAGCACGGGCGCCGAAGGGACAGGTGCGAGACCAGCACGAACATCAGGAGCATGACCTTCACCTCGTACGTGTGCGTGAGGGACAGGAGCAGGCTGGGAGGCTGCTGTGCCGCCTGCGCAGCCTCGGCCCCTGCTGCGGCCGCCGCAGCTGCGGCGGCCTCCGCCTCCGCGCGTTCTTGCTCGCGTAGCCCAGCGCGAAATACATTCTCGTCGAAGCCGTCCCTCGCCGCCGTCGCCGCGCGCAGGGCCGCCGCAGCCTCCGCGTGCCACCTCTGGGACTCGACGTGCCTCTCCTCCGCCTTCGCGAGCGCCTCTCGGTGACGGACGACTGCCTCGTGCTTCTGCTGCAGATCGGACTGGGCCACCCTCTCCTCGCGACTCGCCACTTCCATCTCGCGAGGCAGCCCAGTGCGGCGAGCCAAGATGCGCTTTTCGATGGTGTTCTCAGGTACAGGCTCACGAGGGACAGGAGCGGGTGGCGGCGGGGCCTTGATCTGACCGAAGACGCCGCCATGTAGGGGCATTTCGCCGCGAGAGACCGAAGCTCAGCAGCGAAGGGGTAAGCAGCATCAGGGCGATAAGCATCTTCACCACGAGCACCCGCCGCAGGAATGTACTCGCCACCGCGCTTGCTGCAGGCCCAGTTCCCGAAGCGGTCGAACTCCCAGTGGCCGCAGGGCGCGCAGACGGAGTACGTGGTGCGACGGCGAGCACGTCCACCTGGGCGAGGCTGGTGCCACTGCGCAGCGCCACGCTTCGCCGCCGCCTGCGTCCACGTGGCCCGCGACCGCCATGCCATGAGGACAGAAAACGGAGGCTCCAGCAGGAACTCACAAACAAGAGGAAGCCACAGTTCAGCGCACAGCCTAGACTTGGTGCCACAACTGTTCGGGTAGATGCCACGGATTCATCCAAAACCCATCGTGATTCGTCATGCCTTTTTCCCCAATCAGAGCTTGCCTCTGTAGGGGTCCTAGCGGATTGGTATGGTTAGGCAAGCTGCGCCGCCGATTTTGGCGGCCTGCCCGGGTGCCTGCGTGCCCGGGTGCCCGGGTGCCCGGGAGTTGCGTCGCCGATCTCGGCGGCCCGCCCGGGTGCCCGGGGCCCCGGGTGCCCCACAACCCTATAGACCTATAGCTTTATAGCCTTACAGCTCTACAGCCCTAGAGCCCTATAGCCCTCTAGCCCTATAGCCCAATAGCTAAATAACCAAACAACCCTATAGACCTGTAGCCCTATAGCCCTGCAGCCCTAGAGACCAATAACGTTATAGACCTTCAGCCCTCTTGCCCTCTAGGCCTCTAGCCCACCAGCCCTATGGCCCTATAGCCCTACAACCCAATATCCCTATAGCCTTGTAGATCAATAGCCCTATCGCCATATAGCCTTATATCCTTATAGCCCTATAGCCCTATCGCCCTATAGCCCTAGCCCAGTAGCCCAACAGCCCTATAGCCCCATAGGCCTCCAGCCCTCTAGCCCCATAGCCCCATAGCCCTTTAGCTCTATAGCCCCACGGCCCCAACACATATACGTTTAGCCTTGAGCCACAATGGCGACGGCGGAGGAGGATGAGGAGGAGGAGGAGGAGGAGGAGGAGGAATGTTCGGAAGGAGGAAAGGGTTCAACGGGGTTCTAGGGTGTTGCAGCCAGCGGTTATTCAGAAGGGGTTGGCACGCGGGCGGACGGACTGGAGGGTGTCGGGTTGTGTGGGGCATGGCGGTGATGAGGGTGGTGGTGTGTGTGTGTGTGTGTGTGTGTTGTGTTGTTGATTAGTGGGTGGTGGTATCCTTGGTGGTTGGTGGGTCGGCGGTGGTGGTTGGTTGGTGGAGTGGTGGTGGTGATCGAGCGGTGGTGGGTGGCGTGGTGGGGCGTGATCCCCACCCGTCTTCGCCAGAGGAGGCGCAGGAGTGGGAGGGGAGGGGGGCATGACCCTGCTCGAGGAGGCAAGAGGAGGAGGAGGAGGAGGAGGAGGAGGAGGAGGAGGAGGAGGAGGAGGAGGGGGAGGAGGAGGAGGGGGAAGAGGAGGAGGAGGAGGAGGGGGAGGAGGAGGAGGAGGAGGAGGAGGAGGAGGAGGAGGAGGAGGAGGAGGAGGAGGAGGAGGAGGAGGGCGGAAGGGAGGACGACGAAGGGAATGCTTTGGGGTTTAGGGTCTAGGGTTTAGGGTTTAGCCCTCGCATCAAGCCGAAGCAAGTCACTTTGTTCAGGTGAGTTTGTCCCCCCACGGCGGAAGAAAACCAGGATGTTTCTCTCCGTGGCCACTTCGGCCCAGCGACGAGTGGTGGGACATGCTGAAGTTTCACTTCGCCGCGTCCTCCCCCCTCCTCTTTCTCTTCCTGCTCCTCATCCCTGAATGTGGTGACGTTCACCTGGCTGGCCTCGGAACCGCGCTGCCGCTTTCGTGTTCGAGCTCGCTTTCGGTGGGTGCGGTTCTAGCCCCCGTGAGGGGAAGCGGGTCTAAAGCTGAATGCCCCTGCAGGGGCATCGTGCGCTAGTGCTCAGCGGTCGTTTTCATGGGGGGAGACACAAGTTGCCCATTCGAATGGTGTGTGTGTGTGTGTGTGCGTGTGTGTGTGTGTGTGTGCGTGTGTGTGTGTGTGTATGTGTATGCGTATGCGTGTGTGTGTGTGTGTGTGCGTGTGTGTGTGTGTGTGTGTGTGTATGTGTATGCGTGTAAGTGTGTGTGTGTGTGTGTGTGGTGTGTGCGTGCGTGCGTGTGTGTGTGCGTGCGTGTGTTGTGTGTGTGTGTGTGTGTGTGTATGTGTATGCGTATGCGTGTGTGTGTGCGGTGTGTGTGTGTGTGTGTGTGTGTGTGTGTGTGTGTGTGTGTGCGTGAGTGCGTGCGTGTGTGTGTGTGTGTGTGTGTGTGTGTGTGTGTGTGTGTGTGTGTGTGTGTGTGTGTGTGTGTGTGTGTGTGCGAGCGCGTTATTTGCGCCAGCGAGAGAACACGACGGAGGGAGGGAGGAGGAACAGAGAGGAGGGAAGAGGGAGGAAGAGCGCGGGAGGAGGCGGGAGGCAGGAGGCAGGAGGCAGGAGTGAGGAGGCAGGAGGCAGGAGGGAGGAGGGAGGGCGGAGGAGGGAGGAGGAGGATCAATGAGGCATGAGGAGGGAGGAGAGGAAGAGGAGGACGGAAGGAGGGGGGCAGGAGGAGGGAGGAGGAGGAGGGAGGAGGGAGCAGGAGGAAGAGGATCCCCCCCCCCCGCGGCGACTGCCCGCAGGCGAGCCGCCGAGCATCGTCCGGCGAAGACAGGCGGGGACGCCCCGTCCCCCTCGCTCGGCAGTCTCGCTCGTGCGCCGCCGCCGCCCCGCGCCTCCTCCTCCTCCGCCTCCGCCTCCGCCTCCGCCTCCTCCTCCTCCTCCTCCTCCTCCTCCTCGGCCTTCTCAACCTCCTCGGCATCCTCCTCCTCCTCTCCTCCTCCTGCTCCTCCTCCTCCCCCTCCCCCTCCCCCTCCCCCTCCCCCTCCCCCTCCCCCCCCCTTGGGGGGGAGGGTGGGCCCCCTTTTTTGGGGGAGGTGCCTCGCCGCTTGCTTCTGCCGGCGTGGGCCTGCAGGGAGGGTGAGGCGAGGTCCGAGGCGCTGGGCGTAATTATAATGTTCGTAGATCTGCGAATCTGCCACGCATCTCTCATGGATGCGGCGAGCAGACGTCAATGGATTATCAATGCTGTAGTTACATCATTGACTGTTCTCACGATCGTCGATATTTGGAATAATTCAGGCTCTTCATAAGGAATCAACTTCAAATGAGTCTGTGGGTAAATCAATGCTGTAGTCAATCCCTTCTCGAAGCCTGTTGTTGCCGTTGTTTTGCTTCCCTGGGCGAGCAGATGTCAGTGCCTCGGGGGCTCCCACACAGTTGTTTGAAGCTCGTTTGCGTGTCACGTCACGCCGACACCGCTCGCGTTCAGATGCATGGTCTGACCGCCCGTCCGCCATTGTGAGACGGCTCACGGTGCGCAGACGTCGGCGAATGGAGGCTACTGATGTCGCCGTGCCTCCTAGAGCCCCTGGGACTCCAAGGGGCCGCTGGGTTCCCCGCAGCGCTCCAAACGCTCCGAACCTGAACCCTTCAACTGGGGCAGGTTGAAAACATGGATGCGGCGAGCAGATGAGCCTGTGGGTAAATCAGTGCTGTAGTCAATCCCTCCTCGAAGTCTGCTGTTGCCGCTGTTTGGTTTCCCTGGGCGTGGGCGTTGGCCAGGGTGGGAGGGAGCCGCGTGGGCCCGCCCGCGGCGTCAGCGTCGGGAGGAAGGAGGGGGGATGAGGACGGAGACGGAGGAATAACCGCTCAAGGTCTTTGGTTTTGGCCCCCCCTTTCCTCTCCGCGGTGACAAGGACTGGTCCTACAACCTCCTCCTCCTCCTCCTCCTCCTCCTCCTCCTCCTCCTCCTCCTCCCCCTGTCCCCCTCCTCCTCCCCCCTGTCCCCCTCCTCCTCCTCCTCCTCCTCCTCCTCCTCCTCCTCCTCCTCCTCCTCCCACTCCTCCTCTCCCCGCTCCTCGCCCGATGTTAGCTTCGTATTGCCCTTTCTCTCCCCCGCCCTCCCTCTCCGCCCGCTCCGCGGCGCCCCGCCCCAGGCCTCCGAGCCCCCGCTCGTGCGGCGCGAGGCGGAGTTCGACAGGCATAGGAACGAGGCCTACGAGAGGCGGCTGCAGGCTCCCTGGGGGGGGGAGGGAGAAGGATCGGGGAGGAAGGAGTGAGCAGAGAGAGGATGGCGAGAATGATCAAGTATGAGGGGGAGGAGAGGAAGGAGTGAGATGAGGAGTATCAAGAATGATCAAGTATGAGGAAGGAGTGAGAAGAGAGAGGAGGGGGAGGAGGATGGGGAGGAGGATGGGGAGGGGGAAGAGGAGGAGGAACAGGAGGAGGAAACGGAGGAGGAGGAGGACGAGGATGAGGATGAGGTGGTGCCGGTGGTGGTAGTGAAGGTGGTGGTGATCGTGATGGCGATTGCGATGGCGATGATGGCCATGATTTTGTTGACGCTGCTGCTGATGATCATCGTGATGATGATGATGATGATGATGATGATGATGATGATGATGATGATGATGCTGATGATGCTGATGATAGTGATGATGATAATGGAGATGCAAACGAACACGATGATGATACTGCTGCTGGTGCTGATGAGGATTCTGCCTATGATGATGATTATGAACATGATGATGCTGATGATGATGATGCTGATGGTGACGATGATGATGATGCTGATGATGATGATGATGATGATCACGATCATAGTGATTGAGCTGATGCTGCTGATGATGATGATCATGCTCATGATCATCATGGTGATGAGATGAGGAGGAGGATGTTGCTGCAGAAAAAAGATAATGATGATGATGCTGCTTAGGTGGTGGTGATGGTGATCGTGATGGTGATAATGGCGGCGGTGGCAATGGTGTTGATGTTGCTGCTGATGTTGCTGATGATGGTGTGGATGATGATGATGATGCTGATAATGGAGACGATGACGGAAACGATTATAATACTGATAATGTTGTTGCTGTTGAAGATGATGGGTATGTTGATGGTGATGAGGATGGTGTTGCTTTAGTTGGCCATGATAACGCTGAGGTGGTGGCGATGGTTGTGGTGATGGTGATGGTGAGGTCGACGTCGATTGTGCTGCTGATGACGATTGTTACGATGATGACGGCGATGCTGATGATGATGGTGATGCTGATTAAGATGATGATCATGGCAATGAAGATGATGAGTTGACGATGCTGATGATGGTGCTGCCGATGCTGATGTTGCTGATGCTGATGATGC